ATATAACAAAGAGTGAAAAATTTAAGGGGGTCTGAATACTTTCCGTACCCACTGTATATATATATATATATACATAAAAACATTTTAATATAATTTGCCACAGTCTGAAAAGGGTCTATCCAACAAAATGTCCTCACCTTGTAGCCACCTGACTTGTGTTGCGGGGCCGTATCCTTTATCGTTGCGGGCGGCGATGCGAAAGATGATGGCGGGTTTAGTGGTGTAGTCGATGTGGGCATTGGAGAGACTTGATGACTGCACTAGGCAGGACGGGTTGGGCCCACAGTATACCCGCATAAAAGCAAGCTGAGCCGGAGTGGACGCTTTAGCCTCGACTGTTTGTGAGCTCTGGATGGCCAGATAAACCGAATACTCAATGATCTTCCCTGACGTAACTGAAGGAGGCTCCCAGGTCAGGTGAGCACCATCGGGGCTCTAATGGGAGAGGAAAAACTATTTTAGTGACCAAGATTAGGAAAAACTATTTTAGTGACCAAGATAAACCCACATGTAGACCTAACGCAAACCATTTGCATTGACCAACCTTGCTGATTTTGATGGCACAAGGTGCTCCAGGGAAGCCAGGTAAGCAGGTCTTGAAAGCAGAAACCTCAGAGAACGTCCCACGGCCGCATGCGTTGATACCAGCCACTCGAAACTTATATGCAGTGCCTGGAGAAAGCTCAATCTTCTTCATTCGGCTGTAGTCTGGGATTGCGCCAGAATCATCCTGCAATGTCATAGCAAAAATGATGATTAGTGGTCGACTGATATGGATTTTCTCTCTTCTCTTTTTTTTTTTTTTTTTAATGCAGATGCTGACAAGGATTTTTTTTTGTTAAATCTTATGCCGATATCTTAGAGTGCAGGGTGACCGATAGACAATATATCTCACTATTTAAAGATAGTATGAAGTAATTTAAAGAAACTGAAGTAATTTGAAAATTTAAAGATAAAAAACAAAAAGCAAAGTTAGAATTTAGATAGCAAGTTTTTAATTTTGTAATCAATCCTATTATAGTATTTTTCATAAATAAAGAAGTTGTAACCAGTACAATCAGAAATCTGTTGTGTTTGAGCACACTGGGAATCTTTTTCTCAAAAAAGACCAGGTAGCACTAATTTTACATACAGTACACAGTGATTATGACATGAGTAACAGTTTATTAGGTGTTCAAGATATTCAAAGACTCGATATATATATATGCACATTTGTCAAATGCTGACATTCCATGAAAATATTATAGTTTGTCTTTCTATTATTTAATAGAACTGTTAAACAAAGAACAAACTAATGAAGTTTTCAGAACTGTCAAAATGAAATCCCGCTTCCAAATCTTATCAGCCAAAGTGTCAAACTTATTGGCCTTGGCAAAATATATCTGTCGACCAGTAAAGTTGATTTCATTAGTTCTAAATAACACTTCCTATTGCAAAAGACATTTTACTTGAATTGCAGCAAAATACACAAACAGCAACATGATCATTACTTACATCAGTAACCGCTGAATCATCTGCTGGCACATAATAGTGCGTGACAACCATGTTTGTAACTTTAACGATTCCAACGTCAAACCACTGATTCTCTTTCTTCACTGGTGGCTTTACAATGGCTGGAGGAGCTTCTTGCTTCTATGACAAAGACAGGTGGTTGAACCAGTCTCAAAGTTAACAACATCTGAAATGGTGCATGATTTGAACTACTGCACCGATAACCAACAATAAACTTACCCCAGCTGCTGATTCAATCCCATTGGCCACCTCAGCTAAAGCAGTAGCAGCTTGCATCTTGGCAGGACTGGTGACCACCATTGGCTGAGATGGTGCAAAAGTACTTGATGGGGCTAGAGCTGCAGCAAAATAGAGGCATTTTTAGCATGCACTAAAATTTGATCATGAAACGAAATTATTAGAAAAAAATAACAACTTAACTAATTTGGTAACACTTTACAACAAGGTTCCATTTGTTAGTTAACTACATCATTTAAAGAAATAATTCACCCCAAAATTTGCTGAAAATGTACTCACCTTCATGCAACCCAAGTACAAAAAGTGTTTTTCTTCTTTCTCATAACAGATTTGGGGAAATTTAGCACCAATGGATCCTCTGCAGTGAATGGGTGCCAATAGAATGAGTCTGAACAGCTGATAAAAACATCACAATAATTCACAAGTAATCCACACCACTCCAGTTCATCAATTAATGTCTTGTGAAAGGAAAAGCTGTTTGTGAAAAAAGAAAAGAAAAAACATCTTTACAGTTTACTGTAAAGTTGTTCTCTTGAACTGTTTGAGACTGTTCACTTGTAAAAGGTGCTTGAATATGTGCAAATCCTTTCCTGATTCAGTTGAGGCGACTTTTTCACTGGAGCAGTATGACCCCTGTTTTAGTGTACTTTAGCCTGATAAAAATTTCAGTTAAAACATTTTGATGGATTTGCTTCCTACAAGCATGCAGCTCTTCACTTCACAAGATGTTAATTTTAATTAATGGACTGGAGTGGTGTGGATTACTTGTGGACTATTGTGATGTTTTGATCAGCTGTTTGGACTCTCATTCTGACGGCACCCATTCACTGAAATTTCAGTTAAAACATTTTGATGGATTTGCTTCCTACAAGCATGCAGCTCTTCACTTCACAAGATGTTAATTTTAATTAATGGACTGGAGTGGTGTGGATTACTTGTGGACTATTGTGATGTTTTGATCAGCTGTTTGGACTCTCATTGTGACGGCACCCATTCACTGCAGAGGATCCATTGGTGAGCAAGTGATGTAATGCTACATTTATCCAAATCTGTTCTGATGAAGAAACAAACTCATCAACAGCTTGGATGGCCAGCAGGTAAGTACATTTTCAGCAAATTTTCATTTTTGTGTAATGAGACCGTACTGTGTGTTACCACTCATTTTTGTTTGCACCATTAAAAACAATCATTTAAACACAAAAACAAACATCTCTTACTCTCTGCAGAAGTACGTGGAAGGAGACGGGCCACGGCTCCCATCTCGTGGCCATTGCTCTCAGATGCTGGGTCATTGAGGCTGTCTGCTGGTGCCAAGCCTTCAGTGGGCAGAGCAGCTGCGGCTGCTTCAGCGCTTAACTGCTGGGCTGCGGCCGCCTGCGCCTCCTGGAGCTGCTGCTGTTGCTGAACCAGAGCAGCGAGTTCCTGCTGGGTCAAAACTATAGGGATGGTGGTGGATTGCTGCCCGTCTTGACCTGCGTCTCCCGCACCTGAGACAGGAATTTAAGTCATGCTAAGAAGTCAAACTCTACTGTATACATCATAAAGCATATGGCAGTCTCTCGTACACTTACTGAGCACAGCCTGCTGAGCCGCCTGTAGGACAGCCTGGATGGCGAGGGCCTGTGCTTCTTCTGTAGCCGCAGCCTGTGCTGCAGCCTCTGCCGCTGCGGTCACAGCAAGCTCCTCTGGGGTCAGTCCAGTCACCATGAGGGTGGTTTGCTGTCCTTCTGCAGACATCAGCTCCTGGGGCAAAGCGAGGGCTTCTGAGTCTTGAGCTGCGAGACTCATTGCTTCTGCGCCCTCCACACCGGCCTCCATCTGCTGTATGGAGATAACCGGGAATTGTTTATTTGCACAATTAAACAAATGCTAAAAGGTTCACACAAGAAAAGTTTGAGGTAGGGCTAGGTGATAAAACGATAACTGCAGAGAAATAATTGTCCTTGATAAAACAATAAAAAGAGTTTAAGAAATGTTCGATATAATGTATACTCATTTGAACCGCGCCACATGGACCATTTATCCACTCGGCTCAAAGTTCAAATGGCAGCACAGCGTGAGCTCACTAGAGCAGATGGTTTACTCGCTGATGAGTCTCGGTCACGCGACCACAAACAGCGCTGTGAGATTCAGCGAAGAACACAAACAACTCGGTGATTTAAACTAGTTTAAAGCCAGATGAAACAGTGTTGACAAACAGGAGAAACGCTGTGCACAACGATACAGTCAGAAGGCATTTCAATCTACAAATCGCCATCATTTACCATGGATTTACTGTAGTAACACTAACTGCACCATGGTATTGTGGCAGAAATGTGGGATATTATATCACATTTTATTACATTATTAATGTAGACATGTATTGAAGGAGTAATGGAATATAATTACAGTATTTTTTGTGATTAAGCAATAGCGTTTGTGGATTTATACTAAATGTATTTAGACTACTGTTTTTCATACAAATACCTATATACCAGTGGCGTTCCGTTCATATAAGCTGCGAATGCTCCGCATAACCAGGCCATTTGAGAGAATAAGTTCACGGGATAATTCATATAACAGGGTATATACAGGAATCATGGAGTTAAATCTAATACCTTTTATGACCTTTTTTAAGATTCTTTCCATACATTTTAAGACCTCATCGCCACTCCCAAGTTTTAACTTGTTATATCTGCGACACTTTAACTTACATTTACTATATATTGATTGTAAGATAGCACAACTAAACAGACTTACTTTGTGATAACTCCTTATCAATACAACATAATTCGGAAGGGGGGAACGAAGCACAAGAGAATTAATTGAGTGACTAACCAATGCAACCCAAGAAACAAGAATTAGACCAATAAACAAAACAACTGACAAAACTTATTGAGTAGGGAAAATAAAGCTCTCTGAGTTCACACAGTATATTTAAAAGATGTATTTGTAATCTTTGTAATTGAAATCGAAAGTGAACTGCGACTGCTCATTAAAAAGGGATTTAAATACACCACATATTGATAGTGGCACCCTGATACGCAAAAATGTTTGCGAGAGCAGACACAAAAATCGCGTATGGGAGCATGCGGTAATGGTCAGAAATTCAGCGAGAGCGGGATCAACAAGCCCCGCGCTATCACACAGTGGCGCTGTCAGTCTGTGAGCGCCGTAACAGATGACGTCAAATCTTACGGTATTCCATAAATAAACTACACAGAACCCCACTATTCGGACAAATATACATAATGAAAAGATGATACAAAATGTAATACCTTGGAAAAAGGCATTTAAGACTTTTTAATACTTATTTAGGGCCTTAATTTTGTCTAAATTGATTTATCAACTTTTAATACTTTTTAAGACCCCGCGGACATCCTGTATAAACATGATTATAAGTTGATCCTTTATCATTTGAAATGTAACTAAAAGCTTAAAGAGTTAGGAATAAGTACGTAAAATGATTTATTTGCCAAACAGCAGTAATTTTCTTTAAATCTACGTCAGTTGCGGTTGCTTCCGGGCGAACGGATTCTCCGCAGCTCTCTCATCTCCGCTCTGTTGCTACGAGTCGTCAGGATTGTAGAGCGTTCTCAGTGATTTGCTGGTCTGCGGCTGATTTAATGCGCGAGGTAAGCTGTCAGCGAAGCACTCGCCCAAGTGGGAAAATGTGCTGTTGCTGTCAGATCTCGATTGCCGAGAACCACATTGCGTTTGATGCAAAAAAAAAAAAACACTGTATAGTTTTCTCAAGCAAAGCAAATTTTAAAAGTCCACTGAAAACATATCTTCTTACATTTTTGGTCATAGACAACGTATGTTGAAGATATACGTTATTGTCAACGTTATTGCCTAAGCGGTAAATAAAAAAAAAAATGTTTGTAAAAATGTGGGCTATATAAAATTTTAACAACAAATATCATTGTTCCCTTTGTTTTGCGTATGCTCATGTCACTTACAGTTAAAGTCCTTCTCGGATTTTATTATTGCTTGCCAGGTTGCAATGTTAGTTTGCAATATTTTAAATATTTTTGGGGTATTTTGCATGGTCCGTTACTGGAGTAGTGTCACCCGGGTGGGAGTTTTAACTCCTATTCACTGGGAATAAAAAAAATCATATAGCTGATGCAGAGAGCCATATAGACCGGGGGAATATACTTGTCAAAGTCAGGCAACACAAATCTGTTTCATGATTTGAAACAATATCACTCATTAGAACATGCAGAAACTAAGAAATACATTTTTCTATTAAGATATTTATTTTGTTTAGTGGTCCACCAATATATCGCCTCGTCTGATATTTGGAATTTTTTTAAATATCGGCATCGGCCGATAAGTCTTTCCGTGTGGCCAATGTTTTTCAAAATGGATTATGACACCATATAGTGCATTTATGCTTACTCTTTAAGACAAGCCACTCAACTTGTCAGCTGCAGCCAGCACCTGACAGACAGTAAAATGACCAATCGTCATTCACTTTCTAATGTGACGCTATGTTGTGTTACATACAATAACACTCAGGCGTGCAGCAAAGTCTTATTCAAACGTATCGTGAGACATCAGATCGGTAGCCCAGCGTCAGCTCCGGTGGGAGACACAGATGTGATTATAAACAAATTCAAACAAAAATGAAACCGTGTTTACCTCACAATCAATCAAAAATCCCGCGACTGACTCTTCCTCAGATATGTGCGTTGTTCTCGGGTACTTCTAAACAAGACGCTTTTCCGGTGGACTCAAAAGCCGGCGCACTCCAGAATGAAAGCTGGGTCGACACAAGCTTGCTTATTAGTACATAGTAACATTATTACTATGTTAAGTAATAATAATACATTTGAATTCCTTTATATGTTTATTCAGAAATATCTGCTGTATTTGATTGCCCATTACTGGCATATTATCGCGTGTAGTATATCTTTTCATATGTTCCAGTCTTATTTAATGCTGCTATATGCTGATAACCAAGCATGTAATTAGATGCCTTCAGGCTTGTATTATTTTTTACAATGAAACAGACAAGCAAAACGAAACAGATCAGAGATATATCTTCATTATTAACCAACTATCTCATACTATAATTAAAACAACCTGTTGCTCAGGAAACTATATATGTATTGTACATAAAATACATGGAGTTACACATACTATTTTGGACATTAATTTATGAATATTAATTTGTTTATTAATTATGAAAGTTGGAAAGGCTGCACTAAACCTTGTTTATTTAAGTGTTACCTTTGTTGTTTACATTTTAATTGTTTAGTTTTTTTTTATATATATATATATATATATACATATATATATATATATATATATATATATATATATATAGTAGATGTTTCAGCAAAAGAATAGGAAAGGCTGCACTAATTGTTACCTCAATTGTTTACATTTTTCTAATTTAGGTTTTAATAAATATTTATGCATAATTAATGTTCATTTAGTTTCACCAATTTTCTGCATCTCTCATTTACTGTAATTACATGTATTATATCGGTCAGATTGATTTCTCAATAGAAAATGACTGGAAAAGGTGTAAATAATTCAAAAACCTGAAGTGTTCGTCATGTTCTGACCATAAAGAGTCGTTTAAAACCACAAGTAATGTCTGGTTTCTACAATTTTCACATGGAAGCAAAAATATGCCTTTAAACTTGAAAGAAATAAAGATTTGAAATCTATCATGATAATTATCGATATTGACTGATATGAAAAATGTTTATTGTGAATTTTTTTTTTTGGCCATATCGCCCAGCCCTAGTTTAAGGTAAGATTTTTTTTTTTTAAGAAATAATGCTTATTCAGCAAGGATGCATTGAAAAGTGATCAAAAAGTGACAGTAAAGTAAATTTCTATTTCAAATAAATGCTGTTCTTTTGAACTTTCTATTTATCAAAGAATCATGAAGGATAATGCATTACCGTTTCCACAAAAATATTATGCAGCACAACTGCATTAGCAACACTAAGGGCACTTTCACACTAGCATGTTTGGTGTGCACCCGGTTTCGATTGACGTCAGAGTTCGGCTAGTGTGAAAGCTGTCATGCGAACACGGGTGCACACCGGGGTACCGAACCAGAGACTACCTGTCCTGAAGGAAAAAACGAAACAGATCAGAGACATATATCTTCATTATTAACCAACTATCTCATACTATAATTAAAACAACCTGTTGCTCAGGAAACTATATATGTATTGTACATAAAATACATGGAGTTACACATACTATTTTGGACATTAATTTATGAATATTAATTTGTTTATTAATTATGAAAGTTGGAAAGGCTGCACTAAACCTTGTTTATTTAAGTGTTACCTTTGTTGTTTACATTTTAATTGTTTAGTTTTTTTTTATATATATATATATATATATACATATATATATACGATATTGACTGATATGAAAAATGTTTATTGTGAAATTTTTTTTTTGGCCATATCGCCCAGCCCTAGTTTAAGGTAAGATTTTTTTTTTTTAAGAAATAATGCTTATTCAGCAAGGATGCATTGAAAAGTGATCAAAAAGTGACAGTAAAGTAAATTTCTATTTCAAATAAATGCTGTTCTTTTGAACTTTCTATTTATCAAAGAATCATGAAGGATAATGCATTACCGTTTCCACAAAAATATTATGCAGCACAACTGCATTAGCAACACTAAGGGCACTTTCACACTAGCATGTTTGGTGTGCACCCGGTTTCGATTGACGTCAGAGTTCGGCTAGTGTGAAAGCTGTCATGCGAACACGGGTGCACACCGGGGTACCGAACCAGAGACTACCTGTCCTGAAGGAGGTGGTCTGAGTTCGATTGCACTCGAACTGTGGCACAGTTTGCATGAATATGAAAGCAACACAGACTCAGGTGCGCACTTGTTCAGGAAGTACCTGCGCATGCGTTTTACCCGATTACAATATATTTTCTTCAATAAAACACATAAGTGATGATAGTGTTGCTGATTTACCTTGGATTCGAGTGAGAGTGAGCCTGCAGTATATTCGCGTGTAGCAACTGCAATCAGAGCGGCAAATGAATGGTAATCCGCTGTCTCCTCAAAATAGCCATCTACATGCGCCGCACATACAGTAAAACCCATATGTTGTTTACTCTGCTGTGCATAATAGCTCCAAATTAATAAAAAAACACAATATATTGACCCTCGTTCTGTTTTCTATCATACGTTGTGCACGTTTGTGATGACGTAAAATCAGTGGTGTATAAAGTACCTGAAAGCCATACTCAAGTAAAAGTACAGATATCTTACCAGAAAATTACTTTGGTAGAAGTTGAAAGTCACCGTTTAGAATATTACTTGAGTAAAAGTCTTAAAGTATGTGATATTTATTGTACTTAAGTACAAAAAGTATTTTTTAAATCTTAAAAGTACTTAAGTATTGAAAGTAAAAGTGCAAGTAAATGCAAAATGGAAAAGCAGCAAATAAATATATATAAAAAAATGTTCATACACCGCTTGAGTAACAAGATTGTGTTCAGTTTAACTCTTTCTTCCATTTTGTATTTTTGGGTAAGAATAAGAAGCACTTCATCCGGTACTTAGTGTCTTTCATTCCAACTAGGGATGTCAGTTTTCGATCATTTCCATGATCGATCGTCGTTTAAATTAACGATCAATTAATCGATGAATCGTTAACCTTAATGCTGCAAAATGCGTCTATGCAGCCCGGCATGACAGGATGTGCAAAAGTTACTAAAAAA